TGATTTTTTTTTTTTTTTTTTTTTTTTTGCTCATCAGCTATTGTTAGTGTATTTTATATGTGGCCCAAGACAATTCTTCTTCCAGTGTGGCCCAGGAAAGCCAAAAGATTGGACACCCCTGGGCTAGACTGTATGGATGTGTCATAGGCTGTGCCATTTAGGCTTGTGTAAGTACACTATGATGTCCACAGACAAAGACATTGCCTAATGACACATTTCTCAGAACGTCCCCAATCAGTAAGTGACCCACAACTGTATACATAGCATATTCTTTTGTTTGTGTACTGATATTTCGTAATTTTAGAAAGAAAAAATATCAAGCTTGGGGACAGGAAGGGACATTGGTGCCTCTGATGGGTTTAGAAAAATTCTGAAAGGGCAGCAATATAGATGGGTTGCTGTGACACTCATTTATTCAGGATGTGGAGTGAGCACAGCAATGAGATATCAGAAGCAACAGAGTCAGAGCAGGGACAGAATGAGCAGACCTGGATTCTTCACCTTCTGCCTCGGTTTCCTCTCCTCCAAAACGGGAGTTGTGATATAGTCATGTGTCCCTTAGCAACAGGGATATGCTATGAGAAATGCATTATTAGGTGATGTCTTCGTTGTGTGAACAGCATGGTGTATACCGACAGGCCTAGGTGGTAGGTACAGCTTACTCCACACCTGGGCGAAATGGGGCGGCATATTGTTTCTGGGCTACAGACCTGCACCACGTGTGACTGTACTGAATACTTTAGGCAGCTGTAGCACAAAGTTAAGTGTTTGTGTGTCTAAACATAGAAAAGCTACCATAAGAATATGGTATTATAATCTTATGGGACCACTGCTGTATTTGCAGTCCATCATTGACTAAAATCATTTGTTGTTGTTGTTGTTTTAGAAACAGAGTCTTGCTCTGTCACCCAGACAGCAGTGCAATGACATGATCTTAGCTCACTGCAACCTCCACCTCCTAGGTTCAAGCAATTTCTCCTGCCTCAGCCTCCCAGTATCTGGGATTATAGGCATGCGCCACCATGCCCAGCTAATTTTTGTATTTTTAGTAGAGGAGGGATTTCACCATGTTGGCTAGGCTGGTCTCGAACTCCTGACCTTGGGTGATCCACCCGCCTTGGCCTCCCAAAGTGCTGGGATTACAGGCATGAGCCATTGCGCCCAGCCTGACTAAAATGTTATGTGGTGTGTGACTCTATCTGCCACACGTGGTTGTTGTGAGGCTTAGACATGAGACTGGGATCAAGTGCCAGGTGTGGTGCAAGCTATGTGGGTGCTCAGTGAATGAGTCCCTGTGTGCTAATGGGGCACATACCTGTTAGGGTGTGGTAGGACCTCTGTGGGTACTGGGATGACAGTGTGGTTTAACTGCCAAAAAACAGTAGAAAGAGTAAAAAATTAATTATTTTCTTAGCCAAAAATTCTTGTTGTACTTAGTAATAGGGGTTGACAACTGCACTACTTTAAATCCGTCCATGTCTGTCTTTTGTTCTTTCTTTCTTCTAATTTTAGTACTGGGAAATTTGGTGCTTGTTTTATACCAGGACTCTGTAAGCAAAGTGATCTAACCTTGTATGCGTCACGGCCTGGGCTCCGGCTGTGGAAGGCTGATGTCCACGGAACTGTTCAAGCCACATTTATCTTAAAAGATGCTTTTGCCGGGGAAGTCAAGCCTTTTGAACTGCACCCGCGTCTGGAATCCCCCAACAGGGGAAGTTGCAGCTTACCTGAGAGGCATCTGGGGCTTGTTTCCTGTTTCTTTCAAGAAGGCTGGGTGTTGAGTTGGAATGAATATAGTATCTATCTCCTAGACACAGTCAACCAGGTAAGTGAAGGGATGCTGCCATATCTTTGGTGTCGGTAGGCAAGAGAAAGTTTCTCTATGGACTGTTCTGCTCAGGGCTCTCAGAATGCTAAAAGGAGCAGTATTGATTTACACTTTACTTTTCCTTTGGGCCAGTCAAGGAAATCAAATGAAGGTTTGGTAATTTTTATAGATTTGAAAAAAAATTTGGTTTTGACCTTTAGGTCCAATTATCTGCCCAGAAATTATGTATGTTTTTTGTATGTAAGCACAAAATTAAACTTGTTCTTTTTTGGGGGGGAACTGTGTCCTCCTCTGTCACCCAGGCTGGAGTACAGTGGCATGATCTTGACTCACTGCAACCTCTGCCTCCTGGGTTCAAGTGATTCTTCTGCCTCAGCTTCCTGAGTAGCTGGAATTATATGCACGTACCACCATGCCTGGCTAATTTTTTTTTTTTTTTTTTTGTATTTTTAGTAGAGACAGACAGGGTTTCACCATGCTGGCCGGGCTGGTCTCAAACTCCTGACCTCAAGTGATCCATCTGCCTCAGCCTCCCAAAGTACTGGGATTACAGGCATGAGTCACCATGCCTGGCCTTGTTTTTTGTTTTTTTGGGTTTTTTTGAGACGGAGTTTCTTCACTTTTGTTGTCCAGGCTGGGGTGCAATCCCATGATCTTGGCTCCCTACAACCTCTGCCTCACCTCCCAGGTCCAAGCAATTCTCCTGTCTTGGCCTCCTGAGTAGCTAGGATTACAGGCATGCACCACCACACCCGGCTAATTTTGTATTTTTAGTAGAGACAGGGTTTCTCCTTGTTGGTCAGGCTGGTCTCAAACTCCCAGCCTCAGGTGATCCACCCGTCTTGGCCTCACAAAGTGCTAGGATTACAGGCGTGAGCCGCTGTGCCTAGCCTGATCTTGTTCTTTATAATCTATTTGGGTCATGTTTTTTCTGACTATCAAATTACTATGAGCACATACAGTGATAACTCAAATATGACAGAAGCAGTAGCAGAGGCAGGGCTCAGTGAGCCAAGATTGCAACTCCAGCCTGGGTGGCAGAGTGAAACCCTATCTCAAAAACAGACAAACCAAAAACAGAAACAGTAGCAGAGAATTTCAGTCCCTGAGGAGGGCCTTCCTCAGTGCGCTTTCAGTCCTGTTGTTTTGCCCCTGTCTTCGGACTCAAGTGGAGCCATATCATTTTGCCACTTGTTTTGTTTGTTTGTTTTTTATTCCGTTTTCTTTACTTAGCAACATATCTTGGGCAAATTTCCAACATCATTAAACTCATGGTAGGAAACAATTTCTGCTTAAATCAAGATGATAACAGATTATCATTACAGACAGATTTAGGAATTTTAAACAAAGTTGTTTAGATTCAGTTTCTCCTTAAGAGCAGAGCTCTTCCTCTTTTTAAAATAATCTCCCTATATGAGTACTGGGTTATAACTCAGGGGAAAAAAAGAGAAAGAGAGAAGAAAAATAATCTCTCTGCCTCACCCTCTCAGCTCCTCACCCCTAGACTCAGACCACACCCTGTCCTGTTCACATTTCTCCATTCTGAGCTCAGCAGGCCTCTGACAGATGACAGACACCCCATTCTCTTATAAGCAGAGCCTCACTATAGAAAATAAAGGATTTTCGGTCAGGCATGGCTCATGCCTGTAATCTCAGCACTTTGGGAGACTGAGCCGGGTGGATCACCTGAGGTCAGGAGTTCAAGACCAACCTGGCCAACATGGCAAAACCCCATCTCTACTAAAAATTACAAAAATTAGCCAAGTGTGGTGGCATGTGCCTGTAGTCCCAGATACTTGGGAGACTGAAGCAGGGAGAATTGCATGATGAGCCTGGGAGGCAGAGGTTGCAGTGAGCCAAGATCACGCCACTGCACTCCAGCCTGGGAGACAGAGTGAGACTCCATCTCAAAAAAAAGAAAAGAAAAGAAAAGAAAAGAAATGGTTTTCTTATGTGGTGTGTGTCAGCAGAAAATGAAGTTCATCTTCTCCTCATTGAAGCCTTCTTAATTATTATCAGCCATGCCTGGTAATACTGGTTTGGCAGAAAGAAAACTGGCCTGGGAGGGCAGGGGGCAGAACTAGACTCTACTCTTCTAGCCTGGTCCTGCCTTTAACCAAGAGTCTTTTATCGGCCTGAGCCTGGTTTCCTTTCCTGTAAAATGGGGTGGGGGTGGAAGAAGCATTGACTTAGAGGGATCACCAAGGTGCCTTTTAGCCTTGAGTTTGTTTATTTTATAAGGGATATTTTGAAAGGTATCTTTGCACCCTTTCCTCAGTTACAGAGAACTTCTTTCCCTGGGTGCCTTTTTTTTTTTTTTTTTTTTTTTTGAGACGGAGTTTCACTCATGTTACCCAGGCTGGAGTGCAATGGCACGATCTCGGCTCACCGCAACCTCCGCCTCCTGGGTTCAGGCAATTCTCCTGCCTCAGCCTCCTGAGTAGCTGGGATTACAGGCACACGCCACCATGCCCAGCTAATTTTTTTTGTAGTTTTTAGTAGAGACGGGGTTTCACCATGTTGACCAGGATGGTCTCGATCTCTTGACCTCGTGATCCACCCGCCTCGGCCTCCCAAAGTGCTGGGATTACAGTCTTGAGCCACCACGCCCGGCCCCCTGGGTGCCTTTTGAACTTACATGTGCTTATTAATTAGTAGCATCAAGATGCTTTGGTTTTTTCATCTGAGCACTTACCCAATGCTTTACCCAGTAGGTATAATTAACTTCATTTTATAGGCAGAGAAATGGAGACAGGGGACCGTCTGGGACAGATGTTGCAGTCACCCTTAGAGTCTAGACCGTCCAGTGACCGGGTGACTGGCAGCTTTCAGAAGCAAATGTTATGTTGCAGCTGTCCACCAGTTATTTAATATTGGCAAAGAACGTAGACTCTCCTTATCTTCTACAACAGACTAGTCTCTTATTTGCACTGTTGACTGCAAAGCAAAGACTTCCTTTAAGTCATGTGGGCTCGGGATGTCCTGTGTTGTGTTGCCACCCGCTTCCAGATAATGCTGGAGGGACTCCCCTCCCTTCGTGTATTCATTTGAAACCCATGAGTTGTGGTGCACACTGGCCTCTCCTGCAGGAGTGCACACAGCAGGGGGACCCAGATGTCTCAGCACGTTATTCCAGCCCAGGAGTGGGGCACCAAGCGAAGGTTTGGATGAGGTGCTGTGAACCCTGAGCGCCCTGGGCATTGCAGCGTAGGCGAGCGTGTCAGAGGCTGCTTCCCATGGAGGTGGCATCTGGAGAGAGCTGGAACTCCCCCAGCGAACAGGGACAGGAAAGGAATTCGAGCAGAAAGAGAAGCACATGCCAGACACATGAGCCATGGAGGAACAGGGCTGGGACTGGCCTGGCAGTGCTGGTGCACCTGCAGCAGGGACAAGGGCAGGGTGGCATGTGAGTCGGAGATGACTGAGGCCCCACCCTGCCAGGAGGTGCTTCAGATCCCGCTTACCAATCTGTCAGATGTTACCTAACTTTGGATTGAATTACTTTAGGAGTTTCCAGAAAGCTGCCATAGTAAAGTGCAGTTATCATTTGACTGATTTGGACTCTCTCACATGCATTTTTATGCTTCGAGCTGTTACCATTGTTTAGTTTTGTGATTTTTTTTTTTTTTTTTGGACAGGCCACAATTGCTGGTTTGGAAGGATCCGGTGATATTGTGTCTGTTTCATGCACAGAAAATGAAATATTTTTCTTGAAAGGAGATAGGAACATTATAAGAATTTCAAGCAGGCCTGAAGGACTAACATCAATAGGTTTGTATTTATTATGAAATGTGCCATGTGTATGATGGGAAGTACTATACTCTGTTGTTTGTAATTGTGGTTAATAACTGATCAGACTTACTATTGGGCCAGGCGCAGTGGCTCACGCCTGTAATCCGAGCACTTTTGGAGGCTGAGGTGGGTGGATCACTTAAGCTCAGGAGTTCAAGACCAGCCTGGGCAACATGGTGAAACCCTGTCTCTACCAAAAATACAAAAAGTTAGCTGGGCCTGGTGGTGTGTGTCTGTGGTCCCAGCTACTTGGGAGGCTGAGGCAGTGGATCGCTTGAGCCTGGAGGCAGAGTTTGCTGTGAGCCAAGATCGCACCACTGTACTTCAGCCTGGGTGACAGAGTGAGACCCCATCTCAAAAACAAAACCAAAAACATACTATTATTTTGCTAAACTGTTGCAACTTTATTTAAACATGGAGGGTTTGGAGGGTTTTCTCTGATTCTTAAAATAATATTTACAGTACATTTCTTGAAAGTTACCTACTTTAAGGCTTACATCAGATAGTCTCACATTTGATGGAGTTGCTTTCGTGGTTGTGGAAGATGGGGAGATTGAGAAAGGAGGAAGGCAAAATCAGAAACCACTTTATGGATCCCTGATCTCCGTCTGCGACAGTGTGTAGGATTAATGCTCCAAAAGACATAGATTTGCATAAGATTTTAGAAGATTTAAATCTGGCACCTGGGACATGCCATTTACCCTGAGCTCAGTTCTTCCTGGTAGGATGATTTTTCTCTGTGCTTTTGACATTTTTTGGTAATTCATATAAGCCCAAATTTTAATGAGCAAAGAATCCTAATATGTGTCCTCGTGCAGACATTCACATGCTTTATATATTTGGGTTCCTCAGGGAACTTTTTCCTAATGCTGGCAGCAGCAGCCATGTGGACCCATCACCTCCTCACTGCCGTTACCTCTGAAGTCAGAGAGGGCAAGCTGGGGTGAATACTCCAAAATATAATTTGTGTAAGAAGTGAATGAGCTCTGACTCTTGAGTTTATGAGCTGGGGGCCCCTCAGACAGTATAATCAAAGGGGCAGCATGGCTTTCAGGAAGCGTGGTGACTTGGAGCCACCAGGCTAAGCTCTAGGCCTTTGCTGCCCACAGAGCTTTCTGCAGTGATGAAAATGCTCTCATCTGCCCCGTCTGGTAGGCAGGCACTGTCCATGTGTGGCTGCTGAGTACTTTCAGTATGGCAAGTACAGCTGAGGGATGAATTTTAAATTAAAAAAAAAATTTTTTTTTGAGATGGAGTCTTGCTCTGTATCCCAGGCTGGAGTGCAGTGGAGCAGTCTCTGCTCACTGCAGCCTCCATCTCCCAGGTTCAAGTGATTCTCCTGCCTTAGCCTCCTGAGTAGCTGGGATTACAGGTGTGCATCACCACACCCAGCTAATTTTTTGCATTTTAGTAGAGATGGGGTTTTACCATGTTGCCCAGGCTGGTCTCAAACTCCTGAGCTCAGGCAATCCGCCCACCTCAGCCTCCTGAAGTACTGGGATTACAGGCATAAGCCACTGCGCCTGGCCTAAATTTTGTTTAATTTTGATCAATTTGAATTTAAATAGTTACAAGTGGCTGGAGGCTGCCTATTGGACTGGGCAGCTCTAGGCAAGATCCACCATTAACTTGTGTAATCTTCAACAAGCTGCTTCAGAGCAGAGTCTGCCCCTCCAGTTTCTGGTGCACACTCCGTAGGCTACAGTCTGCCCCTACCACATGCCCTCAGTAGAATGGGGGTGCTTCAAGGGCAGGAATTGCTATGTCTCATGGACTGCCATATCCCAGCAGCCAGCCCTGTGTCTGGCACTCAGAGGATCCGTGATAATGAGAGGATGGCGAATGGATCAAAGTGGGCAGCGGTCTTGTGTTGAGGGTGCTGCAGCTGGGACTGCTCTGGCCTCGTGCCCTGTGGTGTCATGTTGCAGGAAGGATGAGTCCACTACAGTGGGAAGCTCACTGGCCCTTGGTGTCAGGGCAGGGGACAGGGACTCACATGCCTGCTCCTCACTCTGCTGTCTACTTGCCTCGATGCTGACTGTAGTAATGGACTTCTCTGTCTTGAGTTTGTTCTAATGGAAAATTACCTTTCCCTCTTTCCATTTCAAGAAATTTAATTATAGATACACATATATTTTTCAAATGCCCTTTGAATAATTTTAAAATATATTCAAGGCATAGTCTTAAGTATGAAGTATAATCAAGCTGTTTTGTTATGCACAAGCATCTCTCATTTATAAAGAATTTGTAAATCTGAGTGAGAAATACTGTATTCTTAGTGGTATTTTTCTACTTTTTTTTTTTTTTTTTTTTTTGAGACCGGTCTCACTGTGTCTCACAGGCTGGAGTGCAGTGGCATGATCTCAGCTCACTGCAACCTCCACCTCCCAAGCTCAAATGATTCTCCCACCTCAGCCTCCTGAGTAGCTAGGACTACAGGCATGCCTCACAACTCCCTGCTAATTTTTTGTATTTTGCTAGAGACAGGTTTTCGCCATGTTGCCCAGGCTGGTCTTGAACTCCTGAGCTCAAGTGATCTCCCCACCTCGGCTTCCCAAAGTGTTGAGATTATAGGTGGGAGCCACCGCACCCAACCTGTCCTTACTATTGAGTTGCTTTAAAAATACAACTATGGGAAATTATTTTACTGATTTTAATGTATGAGCTTCTTGGAGAACAAAAACTATTTCTTAGACTCCTTTGTGTGATTGTTTCAGTTTTGCTGGTTTCTATGAATTTAGAGTCGTTTAGTTCTTTAGTCGACTGGCACCTCTGTGACAACTGGTATTTGGGGCTCCCAGAGCTGGTTAAGTGCACATCAGCTCTCTCAGATAACCAGTGGTAAAACCAGACTCTTCTTTCTCAGTGAGAGATGGTTTGGAGGTGTCCGGATGCTCAGAGCGAGTCCACGTGCAGCAAGCAGAGAAGCTGCCAGGGGCCACCGTTTCTGAGACCAGGCTCAGAGGCTCTTCCGTGGCCAGCTCTGTGGCCAGTGAGCCAAGGAGCAGGAGCAGCTCACTCAACTCCACCGACAGTGGCTCTGGGCTCCTGCCCCCTGGGCTCCAGGCCGCCGCTGAGCTGGGCAAGGGCAGCCAGCCCCCCTCGCAGAGGTTCAACGCCATCAGCTCGGAGGACTTTGACCAGGAGCTTGTCGTGCAGCCTGTCAAAGTGAAAAGGAAGAAGAAGAAGAAGAAGACAGGTACATACTCACCTGGGGGCAGTCTTTCCAGACTCTCTGGGAACGCCACTGCTCACTGAGTGAGCACTGGCCCATTCATCCAAAAGCAAAGAACACACACATTTCTTCCCCAAAGGAGCTTTACTGCAAAATACTTCACACATTAACAGAAAATACACACACACACTGTAAGGTCTAAATGATGACAGGACATACACCTGTGTACTCACCACCCTGTTTAAAGGATCTTGGTGTTGTACTTTTCAGTATTTAAATTAAAATGTTTATACCATTGATAAAACCAGAGATTCTGTGAGCCTGGGTGGAAAGTCGTGGAAACAGGAAGATCTGTGCTGGTAAATAGTTGGGACATTTTATGTTTAGTGTTGGATATGCTACCAAATATGGGATTTAACATGGAATATTTTTCTTTTTTTTTCAACATTTATTTTAAATACAGGGGACTCATGCACTGGTTTGTTGCATGGGTACACAGCACCCAGTGAGCACAGTACCCAGTAGGTGGTTTTGGCCCTGCCTCCTCCCCCTCTCCCGCTCTGGTAGTGAGCACAGTACCCACTAGCTGGTGGTTTGGGCCCTGCCTCCTCCTCCTCTCCCGCTCTGGTAGTGAGCACAGTACCCAGTAGGTGGTTTGGGCCCTGCCTTCTCCTCCTCTCCCGCTCTGGTAGTGAGCACAGTACCCAGTAGGTGGTTTTGGCCCTGCCTCCTCCTCCTCTCCTGCTCTGGTAGTGAGCACAGTACCCAGTAGCTGGTGGTTTTGGCCCTGCCTCCTCCTCCTCTCCCACTCTGGTAGTGAGCACAGTACCCAGTAGGTGGTTTTGGCCCTGCCTCCTCCTCCTCTCCCGCTCTGGTAGTGAGCACTGTGCCCAGTAGGTGGTTTTGGCCCTGCCTCCTCCTCTCCCGCTCTGGTAGTGAGCACAGTAACCAGTAGCTGGTGGTTTTGGCCCTGCCTCCTCCTCCTCTCCTGCTCTGGCAGTTCACATTGTCTGCTGTTCCCATGTTTATGTCCATGTGTCCTCAGTGTTTGACTCCCACTTCTAAGTCAGAACATGCAGTATTTGATTTTCTGTTTCTGCATTAATTGTTTAGGATTATGGCCTGCGGTTCCATCCATGTTGCTATAAAGGACAGGATTTCATTCTTTATTTTTATTTATTTATTTATTTATTGAGACAGAGTTTCACTGTTATTGCCCAGGCTGGAGTGCAGTGGCACAATCTCAGCTCACTGCAACCTCCACCTTCCAGGTTCAAGCGATTCTCCTGCCTCAGCTTCTTGAGTAGCTGGGATTACAGGTGGCTGCCACCATGCCCAGCTAATTTTTTGTATTTTTAGTGGAAATGGGGTTTCACCCTATTGACCAGGCTGATCTTGAACTCCTGACTTCAGGTGATCCACCCACCTTGGCCTCCCAGAGTGCTGGGATTACAGGCGTGATCCACCGTGCTTGGCCTGGATTTCATTCTTTGTTATGGCTATGTAACGCTGAATTTTTTAAAACCTTTTACTCCTTGGTGCCTGTTGATCCTCTCTAGCTAAAGATGACCGCAGGCCGGGTGTGGTGACTCACGCCTATAATCCCAGCACTTTGGGAGGCTGAGGCGGGTGGATCTTGAGGTCCGGAGATCAAGACCATCCTGGCCACCATGATAAAACCCCATCTCTACTAAAATACAAAAAAAACTAGCTGGGCGTGGTGGTGCATGCCTGTAGTCCCAGCTACTCTGGAGGCTGAGGCAGGAAAATCACTTGAACCTGGGAGGTGGAGGTTGCAGTGAGCTGAGGTCACGCCACTGCACTCCAGCCTGGGTGACAGAGCAAGACTCCATCTCAAAAAAAAGATGACTGCAATATTGAAGGAAATGTTATTAGATATTTAAACATTTTAGTAGTTATAAGGAATTGGCCTGTGACCCAGGTGAACATCTCAGTTTGTCCCCTGGTTTTTCTTAGCTGGTATTTCTTGAGTGAGGCCTCAAGCCCATGGGTGCGTACAGTACTTGCATGCATAGAAAGCATCTCGTTGTTGGGATTATTTGTACTTAAGAGGTTTTTTCTTCATTCACTAAATATCCTTTATTTAAAATATTTTTTCTTGAGCCAAAAATATGTTTGCGAATTAGTCTCTTACTCTTCATGTAGAACCATGCCTTATTTTGAATGTTCTTATTCTGAACTAGAAGGTGCAGGAAGCAGGAGCACCTGTCACAGCTCCCTGGAATCGACGCCCTGCTCCGAGTTTCCTGGGGACAGTCCCCAGTCCTTGTTGTCCATGACCTCAAGTGTCCTGGGCAGCAGTGTGGATCAGTTAAGTGCAGAGTCTCCAGACCAGGAAGTCGGCTTCAGTGGTGAGGTGAACGGTGTCCCGCGGGAAAATACTGACTCCAAAACGTTTAATATCCTGGAGGTGCCAGAATCTGTGCCTGATTCACTGACTGAGGAAGATGCCATTAGAACGGAAATGCCACACTGTCACCACACACATGGGCGGGAGCTGCTCAATGGAGTGCCAAATTCACCCCTGCTCCCGGGAGAAGATGTGGGAGGCAGCGATGTCACAGGACTTGAAGATGAGCCTTGTCCTGCAGATGATGGACCAAATAGCACACAGTTACCCTTCCAAGAACTGGACAGCTCTCCTGGGGCACGTGATGGGGAAGACATCGAACCTACTGGCTCCCAAAGCACTTTGTGTGAAGCTCCCCTCCTGAACTCACTCACGGTGCCTTCCAGTCTCAGCTGGGCCCCAAGTGCTGAGCAGTGGCTGCTTGGGACCGGAGCTGATGAAGGCAGTCCTGTGGAGTCCAGTCAAGAACAGGATGTCCTATCCAGCATGGGGGCCTCTGGCCACCTCAGCGCAAATCTCTGGCATGCTGTCACTGATGATGACACAGATCAGAAAGAAACACCCGTTTCTGAACGTGACTTGGGGAGTGTGGGAGGACAGTTGACTCCAGTCTCTGCCTTGGCGGCCAGCACTCATGAGCCTTGGCTTGAGCATCTTCCACGGGACCAGGTATTGACGTCCAGCGATGAGGAGGACATCTATGCCCATGGGCTTCCTTCTTCATCCTCAGAGACGAGTGTGACAGAGCTTGGACCTAGTCGCTCCCAGCAGGACCTGAGCCGGCCAGGTGCAGATGATGCCGGGCTGCTCAAGTCAGATCAGGTAGGTGGGCTCAGATGGTGGGAAATAAGAAAGCCTCTTTCTTAAGGGTAGTAATTGGCAAGACTGATTATTTTCCTTATGGAAAGAAATTCTGTTCCTACATAGGCCAGGTTCAAGTCTGGGTTCCAAGGGATTTCCAGCACAGGAACTGTGAGTGGCTTGAGCTACTGCTGACCTATTGTACCCTGCTCAGTCGCCTGCCTCCTGACCAAGGTGGCGTCTTGCTGTTTCCTCTTACCCCACAAGCGCAGGTTGGAGTAGGCACTTACAACTGTTAGCCATCGTAGAGTAGAGAAAGCTCTGAGCAGTTTGGAGGCAGGGACTCTTCCGTCCTCCTCCTCAGACTACTTCAGGGAACCATCTGCAAGAGCATGGCCATTTCCAGAACTTTTGTCTCCTCAGCCTCCAGACAGTGGCCCCAGGATTCCCCTGCAAGCTGCGGGAAGCGGTTTGGAGTAGCCAGTCTTTGTAGGTCCACCCAGTGCACGTAATTAGGAGACGATTTTTAATTGTCCTTGAGCATTTTATATTAAAAGTGATGTTTTAAAAAGTGCCTACTTTCCTTAGCAAGTAATTATGACTAGATGTATTTGATTTCAGAAGAAACTGTATTGTCATGTCTGCTGCTGACTGTAGATGTGAGGTATGAATTATAGCCTTGCACTTACAGCTGCGTGTGCTCCCCACCGTGTGCACTGAATTCTGTCAGTGCTGCAGCGTGACGCCTGGTCGGTGCTTCCCATGTGCAGGCATCCTGCGAAGCACTTTACAGGTTCAACTCATTCACTTCTCTAAACACAAACTATGCAATAGGCACTCTTGTTGTCCCCATTTGACAGAGGGGGAAATTGAAGCGCAGAAGAGCTGGACAGCTTGCACAAGGTCGTATAGCAAGTGAAGGGCAGGCCGCAGGACCCCCTTGCTCATCCTCTGTGCTGTCATGCCTCAGAAGTGAAATGTGCTGCTCGCTTGTTTTGAGACAGAATGCCAAAAGGCTTTTTTTTTTTTTTAAACAGGGTCTCACTCTGTCACCCAGGATGGAGCACAGTGGCACAGTCACAGCTCATTGTAGCCTCAGCCTCCCTAGGCTGAAGCGATCCTCCTGTCTCAGCTTCCTGAGTCACTGGGATACAGGCATGTGCCACCACGCCCAGCTAATCTTTGTATTTTTTTTTTTTTCTGAGACAGAGTCTCACTCTGTCACCCAGGCCGGTAATTTTTGTGTTTTAAAGAGAAGGGATTTTGCCATAATGGCCAGACTTGTTGTGAACTCCGGGGCTCGAGCAATCTGCCCACCTCAGCCTCCCAAAGTGCTGGGATACAGGTGTGAGCTGCTGTAGCCGGCCAAGGGTGGCCTTTTATTCAGTCATCCAGCATGTAGCTTTTCAACTTGGTGGTTCCTGAGGGGCCTTGACTGTCAGTCTCTGTGTTTGTGCTGGGGACCACAGTGCAAATGGCAGCTAGTTGTGGATTCCATCTTCCTGAGCCTCAGAGTCTTGAGGGGGAGCCAGATACATGTTCACATCCTCACAGTTGAGTGGGACTCAGGTGAAGGTGCTAAGCCAAGTGCAGGGCTGTGGGAAGCCCCAGCAGCGTGGCCCCCTAATGACTGGGCGTTAGCCAGGCACACTACCTGTTGGGGGGGGTATTGGAATTCTAGGCCAGAAATTCGGGAAAGCCCTTACTTAGGTGACAGGGACCCTGGCCCTTTGAGCCCCCGACCCTCTAACTTCCTCCCTTCCTCATCCCACTCCAGGTAGCTGGAAAGCCAAGAAATTTTATGGTGTATGTTTTTTGGGAGGAGGGGTGGAGGTAAGCCTTGCCATGGTAAGCAGGCCTAGATTGAGAAGAATTGGGCCCCATTCTCTTTGAAGTACTTCACTTCTATATGGGTATCTGTACAAATACATTTATTTCCCTTGCAGTTATTGAAAACTGTTAAAGACTTTATTTAGTTTTGATTTTTAAAAGAACCCTGGCAACGCTGGGCGTGATGGCTCATGCCTATAGTCCCAGCACTTTGGGAGGCAGGGGCGGACGAATCACCTCAGGTCAGGAGTTCGAGACCAGCCTGGTCAACATAGCAAAACCCCATCTCTACTAAAAAGACAAAACAAAAATTGGCTGGGCATGGTGGTGGACACCTATAATCCCAACTACTTGGGAGGTTGAAGCAGGAGAATTACAGCCAGCCAAGATTGTGCCACTGTACTCCATCCAGCCTGGGTAACAGAGTAGGCCTCCATCGCAAAAAGGAAAAAAAAAAAAGAGACGGGGCACATCAGCTCACGCCTATAATCCCAGCACTTTGGGAGGCCAAGGCCTGGCAGATCACCTGAGGTCGGGAGTTTGAGACCAGCCTGACCAACATGGAGAAACCGTGTTTCTACTAAAAATACAAAAATTAGCTGGGTGTAGTGGTGCATGCTGGTAATCCCAGCTACTTGGGAGGCTGAGGCAGGAGAATCACTCAAACCCAGGAGGCAGAGGTTGCAGTGAGCTGAGATCATACCATTGCACTCCAGCCTAGGCGACAAGAGTGAAACTCCATCTCAAAAAAAAAAAAAAAAAAAAGACAGTGTTAGTGCCACATCTCCAATGCATCTGTAATGATTAGGCCATAGAACATGGACTTGCATGCAGATATTGAAGAACCCGGCCCTTTGCGTATGGTGAGGTGTGCCTGCAGAATAAAAGCAGCTCCTTTGTAACATGATGTGATGCTCTAAGTGTTACAGAGGTGTTAGAACAGGAGAAAGTGTCCTCCAGGGATGCCAGGGAGTCTCTGTAGGGAGACAGCAGCCCACGTCTCAGAACGTTTGTGGTGGAGGGGTGTCCAAAGGTAGCGGGGGTTGAGGGGAGGGTTGGCTTGGCTTCTTGCTGCCCCTTTTACTGTCTCGTGTTAATGATACCCACTCACCTTTCTTACTGACAACAGTAAGCCAAGGGTGGCTGTGTCCTCTGCCACAGACTCCACTGGCTCTGCCCTTGTTAGTTTGCAGAAAGCTGGATGGGCTACTCGGGTCCTGGCTATGGCATCCTCAGCTTGGTGGTCTCCGAGAAGTATATCTGGTGCCTGGACTACAAAGGCGGCCTGTTCTGCAGTGCCTTGCCGGGCGCTGGGCTGCGCTGGCAGAAGTTTGAAGATGCTGTCCAGCAGGTGGCAGTCTCACCCTCAGGTTTGCCCCCGCGCTCCCTGCTCTCACTCCCCATTCCTGGGTGCAGACATCTTAGCACAGGGCTCCCCTGAGCATTCACCAAGGTTGCCTCTTCCGAAAGGTTTGACGGGCTTTCCTCCAAAGAACGTGAATTGCTTCATTGGATGTCAGTTCACAGTGTAAATGGGTGTTCAGTTTGAGTTTTTGTTTTCTTTATTAATTGCAGTGGTAACCTCTGATGATATTTTTGTAAGCCAGTAAGCTAGACAGAAAGTTTGAAATTTGAGTGATATTTTAGGGATATTAATATACTATTTATAAAAATAATATGTTTCTCTTTGTCAGTGTTGCTTTAAAGCAACCGAACCACGAAGGTGGGCCTGTGGATATTTTGGATATATTCCAATTATTTGGCTTCCTCTTTAGAAATTCTGTTTTAAGGAGCTGTCTGCTCTGGGTGGACAGTCTACTCCCTGACTCTAAAAGGAAAGTCCATTCATTCTTTCATGCTGCTGTCAGGTCACTGGTGGTGAGTGGGAACCAGTGTTTCCTGAACGAGGTTCTCCTGGGCTGGAAGGCCTCCCTTATCTGCCTGGAATCATTTGCTTCTTTTTCTGAAGGTTGTGTTGGCCACATCAGCACCTCCGCCGGGGGGGTGCTTTTGCCTTGAACCAGCCCGGTTTATTGTCAGGATGTTGGAATAAAAGTCAGATGAAGCCAAAGTTGAGTCTATGACTCGGGACCTGTCTGTCCTCTGTAACTTCACTCCTGTGTTTCGACATGAATTTCCCTTAAATCTCTCTGGTCATTGTGACTGTTTAAAATATTAGTTTGTTCCGCGTTCTTTTGCTTGCTTGCTTTCACTGCTTGTTTGAAAAATAAGTTTCTTATAGAGACTGGCTAACGACCCACTCCACAAGCTGGCATTACACAATTGTGCATTTTAACTCATTTCTTGTTGCTGTCATTTACTGTCAGATTTGTCTCCTTAGCCTTTTAGGACGTTGCTTCTACTCCTGATTATATTAGTTACTTGTATTCCCAGGCCCTTGGTCCTTCACTGTGCTAGTGGGAACTCTCCATCTCCATGAGATTCACGTGCTCAGCTGAGGTATCCTTCAGGGCTCAGGCCCATGTCCTTGGTGGGTGACAGAGCCCTTGTGCCGGGGGTACCACAGGCAAAAATGCCCAACAGGCCCCCTGGTGCAGCCCAGGCGACGCTCGGTGATTGCTGGTAGCCCCTCACCTTGCCTGTGTCGGCCTGCACCAGGCCTCCACCCGCAGTGCTGTCCTGCTTCCCTTTCCTCTCTCCTCCTTCGTCTCTTCATCAGAGTCCCCTTCGCAGTGAAAACAGGCTGACTCAGCACAAGCATGTTCTTTCTGTGAATCCTTTCCATTCAGCTCGTCCAGAACTGATCCCTCCCTTTGCATCCCTAAATGACTTGTTCAGCCTTTCCTAGAGCACTAGTTGTGTCTCAGGATGTTTATTTGGGGACTTATCAAACCTAATAATGTCATCAGTTTTTCTCCACCATGTGAGGAGCACCTGCCATGTGCCCAGCTCTGTGGCCATGCAGTCGGTCTGCTCCCACTGCCAGTCTGTAGCGCAGCCCTGTTGGGGGAAATGATCCCCATTGCCCAGGAGGAAAGTGGAGCTAGGAGGTGGGCAGGGACTTGGAGCCTGAAGCCGCACAGCCAAGGGCCCAAACCTGGGTCTGGTGGCCTCTTTCCCCACTTGGGGGGACCGAACAGGATGCGTTTTAGAAAACTTTCTCCCCTCAATGCCCAGCATGAAGCCTTTTGTGTAGAAATATATTCTAGTATTAATTGGACAGTGAATAGAATTTTTATTTCCATAGGAACCCTGCTCTGGAAGATTGAACAGAAATCTAACCGGGCTTTTGCTTGTGGGAAAGTCAGCATCAAGGGGAAGCGGCACTGGTATGAAGCCCTGCCCCAGGCGGTGTTTGTGGCCCTGAGCGATGACACGGCCTGGATCATCAGGACGAGCGGGGACCTGTACCTGCAGACAGGTAACTGCGGGCTGCGCTCAGGGACCTGCTGGCTCTGCCGTCACTTCCTCCACTGCACCCTGATTTGCCAGTAACATGCTTACAGCAATCACTGATTGTTGTAATTAAGAGGCTAAAAATCCATTCGAATTAAGACACTTCTGGGAAGAGAGTATTTGCCACTTGGTATGTATTAGCAGTTTCCTGCTATTGACACAAACTCAACCTGGGACAAATTTAGGGCAAGAATGAATAGGATTATTTGGTGAGATACAGAAACCACCACATATCATGTATCCTGCAATGTCAGATCTTAAGAGGAAAGAGTACAGTGGAAGGACGTAAAATTCATTTCCCCCTTTAAGCTAAAGCTTAAGTGGCTGCATTTTTTTATCAGCCATATCAAAGCCCAGCCTATACTTACTTACCTGTGGGTCAGGAAAAAAAAGAAATAATTTGTCTTTCTTTATTTTGAGATGGAGTCTCTCTCTCTCTCTTGCCCAGACTGAAATGCAGTGGTGCCATCTTGGCTCACTGCAACCTCTGCCTCCCAGGTTCAAGCAATCCTCCTGCCTCAGCCTCTTGACGCCAGGCTGGGATTACAGGTGTCCACCACCACACCCAGCTAATTTTTTTATATTTTTAGTAGAGATGAAGTTTCACCATGTTGGCCAGGCTGGTCTTGAACTCCTAACCTCAAGTGATCTGCCTGCCTCAGCCTCCCAAAGTGCTGGGATTACAGGTGTGAGCCACCACACCAGGCCATAATTTGCTCTAAAAAGCAGTGTAGGTCAGGCGTGGTGGCTCATTCCTGTAATCCCAACACTTTGGGAGGCCAAGGCAAGCGGATCACCTGAGGTCAGGAGTTCAAGACCAGCCTCACCAACATGACGAAACCCCATCTCTACTAAAAAAAAAAAAAAAAAAAAAGAAAAAGAAAAAAGAAAAATTAGCTGGGCATGGCAGTGCCTGCCTGTAGTCCCAGTTACTTGGGAGGCTGAGGCATGAGAATCATTTGAACCCGGAGGCAGAGCTTGCAGTGAACTGAGATGGCGCCACTGCACTCCAGTCTAGGAGACAGAGTGAGACTCCATCTCAAAATGAAAATAGCAGTTCAGCAAGTCACAGGAAGCTGCCTTCAGGGAAGCCTTTAGCTGCTGGAAGGGGCACCATGGGACTTGCATATTAAAAATCAGCTGTAAGGATGGTCAGTGTTTACTGTCAGCAGAGTGCAGAAGGATCTTCTACAAGCGATATGATTATCAGTATCCGGGAAGGACTGTGGGGCAGGAGATATTTTCGGCTGTCAAGAAACCATTGTCAGATTTATGTAAAGATCAATCTTCCAGATGTTTAACATTGCTGATTCCAGGAGAATGTTGTTTTTATTGGTTTTTATTTTTATTTTTTTTTAGCGGGGATGGAGTCTTGCTCTGTCACCCAGACTGGAGTACAGTGGTGTGATCTAGGCTCACCACAACTGCTGCCTCGTGGTTCAAGTGATTCTCCTGCTTCAGCCTCCCGAGTAGCTGGGACTACAGGCGTGTGCCACCGTGCCCAGCTAATTTTTGTATTTTTAGTAGAAATGGGGTTTCACCACATTGGCCAGGCTGGTCTCAAACTCCTGACCTCGTGATCTACCCACCTCAGCCTCCCAAAGCGCTGGGATTACAGGTGTGAGCCACCACGCCCAGCCTCAGGTAAAAAAAAATTTTTTTTTGAGACCAACTCTCGCTCTGTCGTCCAGGCTGGAGTGCAGTGGCGTGATCTTGGCTCACTGCAACCTCCGCCTCCCGGGTTCAAGCGATTCTCAGGCCTCAGCATCCTGAGTAGCTGGGACTATAAACACCCACCACCACGCCTGGCTAATTTTTTGCATTTTTAGTAGAGATGGGGTTTCACATGTTAGCCAGGACGGTCTCAATCTCCTAACCTTGTGATCTGCCTGCTTCGGCCTCCCCAAGTGCTGGGGATTACAGGCTTGAGCCACAGTGCCGGCCTCAGGAAAATGTTTTAATCTCCACCATGAGCCGTCAGCTGGGGATGAGTCTTCAGGTTGAAGCCCTTGCACAGCTGGCTTACTCCAGGGTGCTTAAGAACCTCCAGCCCAGGTGCACAGCCATACTGGCATCACAGGCCATGATCTGGCCCAGGTTTCTCCAGCCTAGTTCCTGTGTCTTCCTTTAAATGAAAGTATCTCTGGCAAGGCACATGCACATCTAAGCTGCCAGAACATTTGACCTTTGATCATGGGGGAGACAGGAGGTGCGTCTGGCCTGGGGGTGAGGAGCAAGTGACCTCTTAACCAGTAGCACCAGAGGAATCACCAGGACAGTCAGTGGCTTTACATGAGCCGACCCCACCCAGACCTGTTGGATTAGGTCAGTCCTTCTGGGGATTGCTCAGGAATGTGTCATGTAACAAGTCCTGCAGGTGATTCCCACCTAGTTTAGTGCAAGGAAGTATAACCCAAGGACTGCAATACCATAGGTGCGTTTGTGATTAGTCACGGGGCACATTTGAGTACTGAGACCTAATTGCAGGCCTCAGGCCGTGGAATACAGGGTTTTAGGCGACAGTTGGTCTGTCTCCTCCCCTGGGAATAGCCTTTGAGCTCATTTAGACATGCTTTATGACAAGCCACAAGGAGGCAAGGGAAAGAGCCCTGGACTGGGAGTCAGGGACCCTCAGCTTTGGCCTGACACTGCCTTGCAGTTTGACAGACCTCAGATTTCATCTGGGAGATTCGGGTTTTTCATTTTATTAGTGGAGCCCTGCACCCAGTCAGAGCAGAGGTGAGCCACCATGCTGGAGCTCCCTGCAGGGATGGCTGCAGGCCTCAGGTCCCTGCCAACTCCAGCCGTGCTGCAGCCTCTGCCTGGAAGAGCTGCTCTGCCTCTGGCCTCCAACTGGCCGCTCTCCTGCTCCTGGCTTTTGTGTTCTTCTCTCACAGCTTCTTGTGTTACATTGGGACACCACAGAATTCTGAATTGTTCAGTTTTCAAAGAGTATCTGAAACTGCTTTCAGATAGATGTTACATTTAGGCAGAATTTAACCACTTGATGTTAACTAAACTTGACAATGAAAAAGTGGCTGAACAGGGCAGCTCCTGCCTGTAATCCCAGCACTTTGGGAGGCTGAGGCAGTAGGATTTCTTGAGCCCAGGAGTTTGAGATCAGCCTGGGCAGCATAGAGAGGCCCTGTCTGTATTTTTAATTAATTAGTTAATTAAAGTTCTTTTAAGCCGGGCGTGGTGGCTCATGCCTATAATCCTAGCACTTTGGGAGGCTGAGGTGGGTGGATCACCTGAGGTCAGGAGCTCAAGACCAGCTTGGCCATCATGGTGAAACCCCATCTTAAAAAAAAAGAAAAAAAAAATTAAAGTTTTTTTTAAAGCACTCATTGTGAAAGAACATAGCAAAATACCAGAAAAGGAAAAATAAAAACCAATAACCAAGTCAAAATGAGGTGTGGAGTTCTGACTATGTGTCTTTGGGGTCCTCTTCCCGTCTTCCTGGCAGCTCTCAGCGTGGATCGCCCCTGTGCCAGAGCCATGAAGGTGGACTGTCCCTACCCACTGTCCCAGATCACAGCCCGGGACAACGTGGTGTGGGCGCTGACGGAGCAGAGGGCCCTCCTGTACCGGGAGGGCGTGAGCAGCTTCTGTCCAGAAGGCGAGCAGTGGAAGTGTGACATTGTCAGGTACTGGTGGCCGGAGACTCCTTCAGCATCTTGCTTGTCTTACCCTTCGTTTTTGTCTGCTTGACTCGGCAAGGCACCACGAGGCCGATCCTGGGCGGGCCTTTCCTGGGAGACAGCACCTGCAGCTTCCATGACTATAGGCTAATCTTGAATCACCAGAGGTGATTTCTGCAGCATGACCTTAGAGAAACTCTGCCTAATTCTCACCAGCAAACTGGACATTGAGTCAGAGCTGAATTTTTTAAAATGCTGCTGGCCGGGTGCGGTGGCTCAAGCCTGTAATCCCAGCACTTTGGGAGGCCGAGGCAGGTGGATCACGAGATCAAGAGATCGAGACCATCCTGGTCAACATGGTGAAACCCCGTCTCTACTAAAAATACAAAACATTAGCTGGGCATGGCGGCACATGCCTGTAATCCCAGCTACTCAGGAGGTTGAGGCAGGAGAATTGCCTGAACCCAGGAGGCGGAGGTTGCAGTGAGCCAAGATCGTGCCATTGCACTCCAGCCTGGGTAACAAGAGCGAGACTCTGTCTCAAAAAAAAAAAAAAAAAAAAAAAAATTCTGCTGCTGTCTGTGCAGCCCTGAGCATCATGGAGTCGTGAGTCTGTCATGACAGTCTCTACTCAGAACTGCTCACCGCCAGGTAGTTCTGGTTTAGTGTCTGTGATGACTTAGGTCTAAATATTTTTTTTTATTTTCATGCTAGTCAATTGAAATTGATCTCTAAACTGTAACTTTTTTCTTTTTCTGAGATGGAGTCTCGCTCTGTAGCCCAGGCTGGAGTACAGTGGTGCGATCTCAGCTCACTGCAAACTCCACTTCCTGGATCCCAATTCAAGCAGTTCTACCTTAGCCTCCCAAGTAGTTGGGATTACAGGCACGAGCCACCATGCCCAGCTAATGTTTGCATTTTTTTTTTTTTTAAGATGGGGTTTCACCATGTTGGTCAGGCTGGTCTTGAACTCCCAACCTCAGGTGATCCGCCTGCCTTGGCCTCCAAAGTGCTTGGATTACAGGCATGAGTCACGATGCCCAGCCTAATTTTTGTATTTTTTAGTAGAGATGGGGTTTCACCATGTTGGTCAGTCTGGTCTTGAGCTCCTGACCTCGTGATCCACCTGCCTGTGTCTCCCAAAGTGCTGGGATTACAGGCGTGAGGCACTGTGCCCGTTCTTTCTTTTTTTTTTTGATACAAGGTCTCACTCTGTCACCCGGGCTGGGGTGCAGTGCCATGATCACAACTCACTGTAGCCTTGACTTTTGGGGCTCAGATGATCCTCCTGCCTCAACCTCCTGAGTAGCTGGGACTATAGGTGCACACCACCATGCCCAGCTAATTTTTATATTTATTGTAGAGACAGGTCTTCATCATGTTGCTCAGACTGATCTCACACTCTTGGGCTCAAGCAGTTCTCCTTCTTCAGCCTCCCATAGTGCTGGGATTACAGGCATAAGCCACTGTGCCTAGCCTGATCTCTGAACTATAATTTAAGCTATTTTTTTACCATTCAAGATGTTAGTTATAGAATTGCCATCAGATTATTTTACTAATATGGAAGTATTAATAATCCTTAGAAAAACTACATTAGGATATTCATGGTTTGAATCTAGCAACCCAGTAAACTTATAGCGAATACCTATTAAGAGCTAGAATGGTCTGGGCATTGTGACTCACACCTGTAATCCTAGCACTTTGGGAGGCAGAGGCGGGTGAATCACCTGAGGTCAGGAGTTTGAGACCAGCCTGACCAACATGGCAAAACCCTGTCTCCACTAAAAATACAAAAATGAGCTGGCTGTGGTGGTGGGTGCCTGTAGTCCCAGCTACTTGGGAACCTGAGATGGGAGAATTGCTTGATCCAGGGAAGTGGAGATTGCAGTGAGCTGAGATCACACCATTGCACTCCCGCCTGGGCAACAAGAGCAATACTTGGTCTCAAAAAAAAAAAAATGCTAGAATGGTGCTAGGGGCAGGATGTGCCAAGAGGGCTGAGACTGGCCCTTCTGTCACCAGTTCCAGATCTCATGGGGGGCCCCAAGCATGGAAGGACACCCATTAGCACAGATGGCCCTAAACAGGAGTGTGGAGTGTGCAGCCCCGAGGGAACCAAGACTCCATTCAGCGGTCGGGAAGGCAGCATGCGGAGTGGACCCACAGCTAAGCCTTGAAGCTGATGAGGACTTCCCCATATGGAAGGAGGGAAAGGACATCTCTAGCAGAGAGGCCAGTGTCCACCCAGGCCCAGCTGCACAGAATAGCCTGGCACATCGGGGGAGTTGACAGTCACTCCCTTGGTGAGGAAGGGAGTAGAGAGATGGAGGCACTCAGGGGCCTTGGATTCTTTTTGTCCCTACTCACTTTTTTCTTAGGTTATTTTCTTTTTTTTCTTTTTTTTTTTTGAGACGGAGTCTCGCTCTTGTTACCCAGGCTGGAGTGCAATGGCGCCATCTTGGCTCACCGCAACCTCCGTCTCCTGGGTTCAGGCAATTCTCCTGCCTCAGCCTCCTGAGTAGCTGGGATTACAGGCACGCGCCACCATGCCCAGCTAATGTTTTTTTTGTATTTTTAGTAGAGACGGGGTTTCACCATGTTGACCAGGATGGTCTCGATCTCTTGACCTCGTGATCCACCCGCCTCGGCCTCCCAAAGTGCTGGGATTACAGGCTTGAGCCACCGTGCCCGGCTAGGTTATTTTCTCTCAAGAGTTTTCCAGCCATTTTGGGTCGTCAGTGTGTCTTTCAGACGCTGCCACCCGTGTGAACCATTTATCTTGCATAGTCTCAAACCTCCTTCCCTGGCACTTGATGACCTGCTCCAGGGTCACATCTCTTCTCACAGCTGTGCCTACTCTCTGGGCACTCTGCCTGTGGGTGCTGACCCCCATGTTCTCCTCCTTATTTTCAGCGAAAGGCAAGCTTTAGAACCCGTCTGCATAACGCTTGGGGATCAGCAGACTCTCTGGGCCCTGGACATCCGTGGGAACCTGTGGTTCAGAACTGGCATTGTTTCCAAGAAGCCACAAGGAGATGACGACCACTGGTGGCAAGTAGGTGTTCAGCTCCGGGCTACGTGCTGAGCTCTCCTTGACCTTTTCTGCTTCCCCTTTTCTTACCTCTCTCTGTTCCTTAAAGATACTGGATTAAATTTAAAATATTCACTTTTTTTTTTTTTTTTGAGACGGAGTTTCGCTCTTGTTACCCAGGCTGGAGTGCAATGGCGCGATCTCGGCTCACCACAACCTCCGCCTCCTGGGTTCAGGCAATTCTCCTGCCTCAGCCTCCTGAGTAGCTGGGATTACAGGCACGCACCACCATGCCCAGCTAATTTTTTGTATTTTTAGTAGAGACGGGGTTTCACCATGTTGACCAGGATGGTCTCGATCTCTTGACCTCGTGATCCACCCGCCTCGGCCTCCCAAAGTGCTGGGATTACAGGCTTGAGCCACCGCGCCCGGCCAATATTCACTTTTTTATTGTTTGTTTTAAAACAAGGTCTCCTTCCATCACCCAGGCAGAAGTGCAGTGGCGTAATCACAGCTCACTGCAATCTTGATTTACCGGGCTCAGGTGATTCTCCCACCTCAGCCTCCCAAGTAACTGGGACTATAGGCGTGCACCACCACGCCCAGATAGTTTTTTGTATTTTTTTGTAGAGACAGGGTTTTGCCATGTTGCCCAGGCTGGTCTCAAACTCCTGAGCCCAAGAGATCCACGCAGACCCAGACCGAGCACAGTGGCTCGCACTTGTAATCTCAGCAATTTGGGAGGCCAAGGCAGGCAGATTGCTTGAATCCAGGAGTTCAAGACCAGCCTGGGGAACATGGTGAAACCCCATCTCTACCAAAAATACAAAAATTAGTTGGGCATGGTGGCACACACCTTTGGTCCCAGCTACTCAGGAGGCTGAGGTGGGAGGATGGTTTGAGCCCAGGAGGCAGAGGTTTCAGTGAGCCAAGATCATACTGCCACAATCCAATTTGGGTGACAGAGCTAGACCCTATCTCAGAAAAAAAAAGAGAGAAGAATCCGCCTGCCTCCACCTCCCAAAGGCCTGGGATTACAGGCCGAGCCACCACGCCCAGCCAATAGTATTCACTTTTTCTATTTAATGGATTAGACTCTGCTGTGTTTGAGTATATTAGAAACATCAAGCACTTTCATTATAGGAAATAATTTGCAAAACTCTTTGTGTAAATAATGCACTTTATTTATTTTGATATTATTTATAAATTTATTATTATAGGCTAAATAAAGCCAGTGACATCCATTTGAAGACCAAGGTAATAATAATGTTTAATTATGAACAAATGTGCTAAGAAAAAAGCCCAAACAGTAGGTTTGAAAGCCTAACCCAAAATTAAAATTGAGCTATCTCTGCTCATTAAGAAGGCCTCTAAGTAAATGATATTTCAACAAAGAAAGGGGAATTTTTCCACATGCTTCCAGAAAAGGAAACACTTTAAGAAACAGGATGAGGATATACTCAAGCTAACTTTGTGTGATTTGGTCCCAGCAAGAGCACCTAGAATGGATTTCTCTTTTCTTTTTCTTTTCTTTTTTCCTGAGGCAGGGTCTCACTCTTTTGCCCACGCTGGAGTTGGGTGGCGGGTTCTCTGTTCACTGTAGCATCCAACTTCTGGGCTGAAGCAATCCTCCCACCTCAGCCTCCCAAGTAGCTGGGACCACAGGCTCATGCCACCATGCCCAGCTAATTATTTTGTTGCTTTTTATTTCTTTTTTACTTTCTTTTTTTTTTTTTTCTGCGATGAGACCTTCTGCATTAAACGGCTAATTATTTTGGTAGAGACAAGGTCTTGGTGTTGCCCAGGCTGGTCTTGAACTCCTTGGCTCAAGCAATCCTCCCGCCTTGACCTCCCAAAGCACTGGGATTATAGGCATGAATTACCATCCTTGACCTAGAATGGATTTTCAAAGGAGTGTCTTCTTTCCCATCTTTGGCATTGTTTAGTGTTAGCATAGCTCCCACATTCTCCCACTGTGGTAGGTAAGGATTGCACTGATAGTCAATAGCCGTGAAATATTTGATGTTTCTTCATCTTTTTTTTTGAGATGGAGTCTCGATCTGTTGCCAGGCTAGAGTGTAGTGGCGCCATCTCGGCTTACTGCAGCCTCCGCCTCCCAGGTTCAAGCAATTCTCCTGCCTCAGCCTCCTGATTAGCTGGGACTACAGGTGTGCGCCACCATGCCCAGCTATTTTTTGTATTTTTAGTAGAGACGGGGTTTCACCACAGATGGTCTCGATCTTTTGACCTTGTGATCCGCCCTCCGCAGCCTCCCAAAGTGCTGGGATTACAGGTGTGAGTCGCCATGCCCGGGCCATATTTGGTGTTTTTTAAGTATCTTGTCCCATTGGTTGTATTGTCTCCTCAGACTTGCTTTGTTGAAAGCTTGTCTTGCATTGACTGTTCTGAGGTCTTTCAGATGAGAATGTAGAAAATGAGTTGTGTTTGCTCTTTGAGATGTGTTGTGTATAACATATACATTGTATATAGATATGTCTAATTTAATATACTAGGAAATATTTGATAGTTATGCAAAAAATTTAAAAATTGTCTAGGTGGGCTGGGCGTGGTAGCTCATGCCTGTAATCCCAGCACTTTGGGAGGCTGAGGCAGGCGGATCACGAGGTCAGGAGTTCGAGATCAGCCTGGCCAACATGGTGAAACCCCATCTCTTCCAAAAAATACAAAAATTAGCTGGGCATGGTGGCACATGCCCATAATCCTAGCTACTTAGAAGGCTGAGGCAGGAGAATTGCTTTAACCCTGGAGGCAGAGGCTGCAGTGAGCTGAGATCGTGTCATTGCACTCCAGCCTGGGTGACAAGAACAAGACTCTGTCTCAAAAAAAAAAAAAAAAAAATTGGCTAGGTGTGGTGGCATTCACCTGTATTTGGGAGACTGAGGTGGGAGGATTGCCTGATCCTGGAAATCAAGGCTGAGTATGATTGTGCCACTGCACTCCAGCCTGGTTGTCACAGCAAGACTATCTCAGAAAAGACGGCAAAATTCTTTCTCTGATTAGAATGAAAGTCTTCTTAGAAAGGGTGTGTGTAGGGGGGTGATATTTAATCACAAATGTAATACATGCTTGTAAAAGATCCATGTTATATAAAAGTGTCTAAAATGTGAATATATTCTTCCATACTTTAAATCCACCACTACGAAGTAGCTGGAGTTAGAGTTAGCGGTTTGCCGGCATCCTGTCACATGTTTTTGGTCCTTCCACAAGTGAACATGTGCACATTTGTGTTTGGATGGTCATCTCGTTACTAGAAATGCAGAGGTGTGGGCCTGGGCGGGAGCCTTCCCTCGAGGTGGAGAGTCTACACTGTAGTTGCTCTGACTCAAGGTTTTTGCTTGTCTCCTTCCAGGTGAGCATCACAGACTATGTGGTGTTTGACCAGTGCAGCTTATTTCAGACAATAATCCACGCCACTCACTCGGTGGCCACAGCAGCCCAAGCCCCCGTAGAAAAGGTGGCAGATAAGCTGCGCATGGCATTTTGGTCCCAGCAGCTTCAGTGCCAGCCAAGCCTTCTCGGGGTCAATAACAGCGGCGTCTGGATCTCCTCGGGCAAGAATGAATTCCACGTGGCTAAGGGAAGTCTCATTGGTGGGTGAATTGCTGTATATTTCACACTGGCTTTATAGGCAGCCTCACTTTAAAGCCAACATTTAAGGAAAGCTTAAAGATCTCAACTTGAGAAGCTGAGTTAGTGCCAGCACTATGAAGTGTCTAGTGGGGCCCTCTTTATGCTTTGTGATCAGTTTCTCTCCTTTTTAAAAAATCTGTCATTCTTAAAACTTGGATCCCTGAGTCTGGAGAGTGTGTTTCCCCTGGAAACCTTTCATGGCATAAGAAAAGCAAATGGACGTCACTTTTATGTTAACAGTTTCACATTTTAAATGAAAAAATCCACCTGAACCTAAAGAGCCTAGTGAGAGAGAGTGGTCCATTTCCTGGAGGGAAGGTGGTGGCCACTGCTGGAAATGCAAGGCTCTGGCCAGGTCTGTGAATGTAGACGCTGGTCCAGGCATCCTGGGGTTCGTTTCTGTGAGTGAAGCCCTTGCTTTGTGAATTTCCTCCAACTGTCTCCCTGCTGTGTGACCTCCCCGCTCCTGGGCTAGATATGGCTCTGCCTGGCAGTGTTCAGAGGGAAATGAATGGCAGGCTCTGATGGCTCATGTCGCTGAATTTAGGGACACTCTAGAATTATCTGGAGAAGGGGTTTGAAGGCCAGCTGTCGTCTAGAACTAGGCCCTGAAGTGGTCTTGTCGGTTTTCTTTCTCTAACACATTCTTCCCATTTACTCTTTCCAGGCACTTACTGGCATCATATTGTTCCCCGTGGGACAGCTTCTGCCACAAAATGGGCCTTTGTGTTGGCTTCTGCGGCTCCCACAAAGGAAGGTGGGTCAGTCTTAGCCTCACTGAGAAATCTAGAGCACAGCTTCACCATTGGAAAGATTCAAACCACAGTCCGACTGTGGCCTCATTGGTGATGGGGCGCACCTCTGAGACCAACCACGTTAGGGGTGTCACAGGCCCCGTAGCCCTTGTTAGCTGAGCCTAGGGCCCTGAAGGGGATAGTCCTGACCAGGAGAGCCACTGAGAGGGACCGAGCATTGTGAAGATGAGGGAAAGTATCCTTCTGAAGGAGGAGCTCACACGGCGGCCACCAGGACCAGCAGCTGGTGACTTCCAGCAGCACATGGCAGGGGCCACAGCTTCTCCAGGCACCTTCCCATCTCCCCTTCAGAGTCCTTCTGTCACCTCCCAGCAGCCTCTTTCCATCTTGTTCACAGACTCTCGATCACCTAAGTCCCACATTTGTACCCCATTAAACAGACCTGCCTTGCAGGGGGTGCTCCTGCCCACATTCCTGGGCAGAACTTAGCATCCCTTACAGAGCATGGGGTTTGTGAGGGAGCCAGAGCACAGGACGGTGGGGAGCTAGCATCTGTGGCCAGAAGAGGCAGTTCTCCCACCCAGTTAGCTGGGAGCCAGGGCAGTCAGGTGACCTCTCTGGGAAGTAGCTGTACCTCCTCCCAGGATTGCACTGAGGATTAAACGCGAAGACACTATGAAATCTGTGATTAAGAGGGAGTCGTTTGGTTAGTTCAAACCATTAGTCCCACTAGGATGTGGGTCATTGGGTCAGTACAGTAACTTCTTACCAGATTGTTCGGACCACAGTTCTGAAACCTAGAAATCTCTGAAAACAATAAATTATTTCTTGAGTTTGGCATAAATTAATTTGGCAGCCAAACTTGACTGGATCTCACACAGGGCTGCCTCCAGCCTCAGTGGATCTGTTGGCTGTGACCGTATCCGTGTTGCTGCAGGGATGTTACCGCTCCTCACCAGGGAGCGCCTGGCCCTCATGGTTGTTTTGTAAACCAATGGCATACCCATTAGCTAAGGTTTTCAAAAATCCAGAAAAGGTTTGAATTCTAAAACGTGTGGCCGCAAGTTATAGATAATACTTAAGATAATGTACTGTGACCAAGCTTTTAACTGCCCTAAGGATTGTTTGCATTTTAAACAGAATCTGTTATACCTAAAGGACTTTTTAAAAATGCCGGAGGGAATGAAAAGACATGATTTTGAGGTAATGATGGGAAGAGAAGCATTTCCAGCTTCCTAAGCCTTCTCCAGCAGGTGGCCTACCCTCCAGCCCCATCACCAGGAGGCCTAGGAGAGCGCCTTGGCACCATCCTTCCTAGGAACTGCCAGCCCTCACTCTTCCAGGGCACTGAGTTGATAGTCTTCTTTTTTCGGCAAAATTAACATTCTATATTAAGAATGCTCTGGTGCCTTTGTTCAAGTGAAAAACTTCCCAGCCCATGAAAATGGGAGGCCAGAACCAGTAAGCCAACATTACGGCCTTCATAAAATCTCCTAAGCCCTGCCTTCTTTCCGTTTCTTTCAACCATCTCAGGCCTGTTTCTTGTTAGTTGTGGCGTTTGCCTCTGACTTCTACTTCTTAAAGTGCTAGACCCCTCCTGCCCGCATGGGAACGGGCGGGTGAGTAAGCGGCACCTCAGCCAGGTGGATGGCACCTGCCGGAAGGCAAACTGCCTTGTACATTTAGGGTGGGCGGCTCGGTGCAGACAGCACATGATGACAAACATGCTCCCTTTTCGCAGGGAGCTCCCTGTGGTTGTGCCAGAGCAGCAAGGACCTGTGCAGCGTCAGCGCCCAGAGTGCACAGTCACGGCCCTCCACGGTGCAGCTGCCTCCCGACGCCGAGATGCGCGCATACGCCGCCTGCCAGGATGCACTGTGGGCGCTGGATAGCCTCGGCCAGGTGTTCATCAGGACGCTCTCCAAGAGCTGCCCCACGGGCATGCACTGGACCAGGCTGGACCTCTCCCAGCTAGGTACGGCTGTCTCGTGAGTATGCCTGCCGGAGCCCTGACTACCCTCAGACTGCATCAGAACATGACGTTGAACAAAACTGCCCAGTCTGTGTTCAACTCGTGAGAGTTCTGAGAGGATATTTATAAGTTGCTGGATTTCAGGAGCTCACTTGGCTGCTACTCCAGACTAGACAGGCTCTGGGTTTTGTCTCTTCCCTGCCCCTTAGAGTTTGCAGGGCTGTCAGAACCACAGGAGGGCGTGCGTCCTCAGATTAAGGGGCCATTTGCTGAGAGCAGCTTGAAGGATACTGGTGATGCAGCTGCCCCTGTCTGTCTGTCTGAATGTGGGACATAGCTCTATGGCCTTAAAAGCTGGAAAGATGGGCGTTCCCTACGACGGGATCGGTGCCACATTTGTCCATCTCCTCAGGACAGTGCCTGGCAGAGGAGAGTGGCTCAACACACAGGTGCCAGCTCTCCTTCAGCTCAGCCAGATCCAGGAGGACCTGCACCCAGTAGCTCCTGCTTTTCTCTGTATCTACCTTTTTTAGCTACAGAGTGGACTAAAAAATGTAGTGCTATTTGTAGGCCAGGCACAGTGGCTATAATCCCAGCACTTTGGGGGGCCGAGCTGGGTGGATCAGGAGTTCAAGACCACCTGGCCAACATGGTGAAACCTCATGTCTACTAAAAATACAAAAAAAAACTAGCTGGGCATGACAGTGCATGCCTGTAGTCCCAGCTACTTGGGAGACTGAGGCAGGACAATTGCCTGAACCTGGGAGGTAGGGGTTGCGGTGAGCCAAGATCACACTATTTATTGCACTCTAGCCTGGGCAACAGAGTGAGACTCTGTTTCAAAAGAAAGAAAAGAGAGAGAGAGGGACGGAGGGAGGGAGGAAGAAAGGGAGGGAGAGAATGTAGTGCCATTTGTAAATAATTCATTCATGTTCCAAGAAATAATAAAATAAGCCCACAACATTAGATTTCTCTCTGATAGACTCTTGGTGGATCAGGCAGCATAGGTGTGGTTTACCTGAAGGTGGAACTGTGCAGATGGCTCCCGGGGACCTGGGTGAGCCCTGCGCTTGCATCAGAACTGACTCAGCAGGACTGACTCAGCAGGACTGACTCTGGAACTTCCTGATTATAAGGTTTCCGAATTTTTAAATTTACAACCATCATTTGGTTACATAGTAGACTTGAATTGCATAAGCATTGAATGTTTGAGAACTGAACCACATGTACTCACCAAAAGGGAAAAAAAAAGAAGGAGGGGAGAAACAAAGCAGGAAGAGCACCGGGCGCGGTGGCTCACACTGTAATCCCAGCACTCTGGGAGGCCAGGGTGGGCGGATCACCTGAGGTCAGGGGTTCAAGACCAGCCTGGCCAGCATGGTGAAACCCTGTCTCTACAAAAATTAGCTGAGTATGGAGGCACACGCCTGTAATCCCAGCTACTTGGGAGCCTGAGGCACAAGAATCACTTGAACTTGGAAGGCGAGGTTGCAGTGAGCTGAGATCTATGCCATTGCACTCCAGCCTGGGTGACAGAGCAAGACTCTGTCGCAAAAGAAAAAAACAAAAAAAGAAAGCAAGAAGAGAAGGGCTTGTCCCCCTTCTCCCCAAGCTCCTGGCTGCATTGCAGTCTGTATGCTCCCAGCTGACAAGGAGAGCCTCTTGCCACTGTAAAGCAAGCATTGTCCTAGGCAGCCTGGCAGTGGCCGGTGCGCTCAGCCCCAGGGGCTCCTATAGGGTGCTGAGTAGACGTCACCCATTCTTTTGCCTGAAAAGGCCTCTGAACATTAACTCAACTGAAAGAAGCAAGTTCTGTTCCAAGGCTTGGGGTTGTCCGGGCGATTTTTGTTCTTTGTGCTTTGGGCCTCCCCACTGCCTTTTGGACCCACCAGTCACCATCTAGCTTCTCCAGAACACCTTCCTCTCCACGTCACTGACAGCGACTGATCAGACCAGGCTGAGACCGAGAGAGGCCTGAACACTGGTGCTGGCTGACCTGCCGCCTGCCCTGGGAAGCCTTTCATTTGTTCAGTTACCCTACTGGTCCTGAGTCTTTCTCCAGCAGCTCCTCCCGACTAACTGGAAAATGCTGCTAGTTCCCTCTGCGGGTAAAAAGTCCAGCGCGTGATGTGTGTTCTCCCTACACCTGAATCTTGAGCACTGTGGGAGGCCGTGTTCACTTGCACTGTTTGGGTGAGAAGCAGGACTGGTTCCCTTGCATGGCCCCTGCCAGCCCCTCCAGGAAGGCACCTGCACTATGGCAGGCTTCAGAGTGAACGGGCGTCATGCCGGGTTCTGCACTGTTGGAGCCAGCCCTGCCTGGGCCTCCCACCTCCAGCACAGCTCATGCCCCCTCCTGGCTCAGTCCAGTCCTCCCAGCACTGGCTGTTGGCTTAAGTTGTGCAGGTCTCTAAGGTGTGTATTTGGGCTTCATGGGAGTTTCTCTAGGTGAGAAACCCGGCTTCCGTGGGATTGAGTCTCAAGAGTGAGAGGGAAACAGGACCGAGTCTATCCTGAGTCCGGGATGGCCTTGGGCCCTCCGGTATTCAGCAGATATTCGTTGAGGGGATGGGTGTGTGAGTGGAGGGATGGCCTGGGGGTCCTGGTTGCTGTGGATGGGCAGGTTTTGACTAAGCCCCTGTGTTCTGCCTGCAAAATCATTAACAAATCAATGTCAGTATCCAGCTGAGTCTGAATGGATCAGACCGGCAGGGGGTACAAGGAGGTCACAGGCAGAGGTGTGGGGACTCATGGCAGAGGCAGGACAGAGCTGGGCCCCAGGCAGCTTGCCTTTAACTGCAGTTTCCTCTCCTTTTTTTTTTTTTCCCAGATGGGGTCTCACCCTGTCACCCAGGCTAAGTGCAGTGGCACGATCTTGGCTCACTACAACCTCTGCCTTCCCAGGCTTAAGCAATCCTCCCACCTCTGCCTCCCAAGTAGCTGGGACCACAGTCATGTGCCACCATGCCAAGCTAATTTTTTTTTTCCAAGATGGAGTTTCCTTCTGTTGCCCAGGCTAGAGTACAGTAGCACGATCTCAGCTCACCGCCCGCCTCCACTTCCCAAAGTGCTGTGATTATAGGTGTGAGCCACCGTGCCTGGGCCCAGCTAACTTTTGTATTTTGGGTAGAGCTGGGGTTTCACCATGTTGGCCAAGCTAGTCTTAAACTCCTGACCTCAAGTGATCCGCCCTCCTCGGCCTCCCAATCTGGCGTGAGCTACCATGCCTGGCCTTGGTTTCCTCTCGTTTCTAATGGGAGCAGCAACCCCCAAGTCCAACCCCCCAGGGGATGCACGGGTAGTGGGGGCGTCCTGTCTTAAGCTTGAGCCATCTCCCTGCAGCGTGGCCATCCAAAAGCTGTGGCACTCTGCTTGGGGTGCGCTCTGTAGCCTTTGTTAGCTGCACAGATCCTCAGGCTGGTGGTGGGGCTTTTGCTTGCGTTGCCCCAGTTTGTGCCACGGGGAAAGAGAATCCAGCATCCCTTGTTAAAGCACCACCTCGAGTAGTCCTTATCCTGCCCTGAGCTTTAAATTTTATTTATCTGAGTTATCTGGTTGATCTTGAAATGTTAAATTAAGACTCCTTTCCCATTTCCTACACATTCTGAGAGAATGTGTCAAGTCCAGGGTTGGCAGCTTTGTGTTGGGATAAGGGAGGTGAGCAGGCGACCAGGATCCCCAGACCACCCCCTCAATGAATACCTGCTGAACACCGGACCGGAGGGCCCAAGGCCATCTTGGACTCAGGGTGAACTCGTTCCTGTTTCCCTCTCCCTCCTGGGACTCAATCCCACTGAAGCTGGGTTTCTCCCCTAGAAAGAATGGCCACCTCCCCAGCCTTCACTGTGCCAGGGTAGGGCAGTGAGCATCACCAGGGGCAGCAGATATGCAGCTATTGGGCTGTCTGTATCCTGTGGGAAAGGCAGGTGGGTCAAGAGACTTCTTTTTTGTTTGTTTGAGATGGGGTCTTGCTCTGTAGACTAGGCTGGAGTGCAGTGACACAATCTCGGCTCACTGTAACCTCCGCCTCCTGGGTTCAAGCGATTCTTCTGCCTCAGCCTCCTGAGTTGCTGGGATTACAGGTGCACACAGCCATGCTCAGTCAATTTTTGTATTTTTAGTAGAGACGTGGTTTCACCATGTTGGCCAGGCTGGTCTCAAACTCCTGACCTAAACTGATTCACCTGCCTTGGCCTCCCAAAGTGCTGGGATTACAGGCGTGAGCCACTGTGCTCAGCCAACAGATCTTTTAATAATTATATATTTAAGTGAGGGATTACAGGTTTTGAATTCAGGCATGCTGTCTGCCCAGGAGCCCGCGTGACTGACTGACTGTGCCTGGCAGCTGTCATCAGGCCGTGTGTATTGAATGGGTATTGACTATACAGGAGAGTCATCTGGCTGACATGGCTGCTGCCTGTGTTACTTATCTGGAATTGATTGGGGTACTTCATTTCTCTTTTAAAAGTTGACAGTGGGCCAGGTGCACTGGCTTACACCTCTAATCCTAGCACTTTGGGAGGACTGCTTGAGGCCAGGAATTCAAGACTGACCTGGCCAACATAGCAAGACCCCATCTCTAAAGATATTTTTTAAAGCCAGCAGCGGGTTGGGGCCGGGTTGGAGAAAAAAAATAAATAAATAAATAATAATAATAAATAAAAGTCAGCAGTCGAGGGTTTACACAGCAACGAATGGAAGCACTGCAACTGCATTTGAGGATTTTGTTCAATATCAAATTTAGCCTCCTGCAAATGTGCTCTTTTTCCTAACTTTGATCCTCTGCACCCACTAAATTCCATTTTTTGGGGGTTTTTTTTGAGACAGTGTCTCACTCTGTTGCCTAGGGTCACTGCAACTTCCGTCTCCTGGGTTCAAGTGATTCTCCTGCCTTAATCTCCTAAGTAGCTGGGATTACAGGCCTGTGCCACCACACCTGGCTAATTTTTGTATTTTTAGTAGAGATGGAGTTTTACCGTGTTGGTCAGGCTTGTTTCGACTGA